ATACTCAAGATCTTTTTCTGAATCAAAATCAAAATTGTGAATATTTGAATTTTGAAGATCTGAAGTTTTCAAAATTGCGACTTCAAATTTGATATCTTTAACTTGATTTTGAAGAGTTGCAATTTGAGAATTCATTTCTTTAATTTCTGATTTAAGATCAGAATTAATGGATTTTGAAGAAGTTTCTTGATGAAATCTAGAGAAAACATCTTTCATATTAAAGGGTTGAGAAGGAACTTTTGAAGTTGAAGGAAGCAATTGAGAAAATTTCTTTTTCAATTGCGGATCTTGAATTTGTTCAATAATATCTTGACCTAATTTTTCTTCTTTCGTAAGAACATTTATGGTTTGACATCCACAAATATTTTTACTTCGAGAAGACTGGAATGAAGAGGATGAATTAGATTCATTAGCAGAATCTTCTTGATTTTGATAAACATATCTAATTCAGAATTTGAAGATTCATCAGAACTTGAATTAATTAGATTAAGAAGTTCAAGTTTAATATCTTCATCAATTTGAAGATTATTAATCTTTCCTTTCATAAGACATTTATTAGAATAATGTCCTTGTTGATGACATTTGTAACAAGTAACTTTAGAATTTTGAGATTTTGAATGAAATTTTCTTTGATATTTTTTCTGAAATCGCAGTTTTTGAGAAAATGGTTTTTGAAAAGAATATTCTTTCTTTTGAAATCATTTTCTTTTTGAAAAGGAAGGAAAATGTTTTTGCTTTTTCTTTGAAGAAAGGGGAATAATTTTTTCAAAACCATATTGTTCACAAAAAGGTACAAGCTCTTTCTTTAAACTATATTGTTCAGATTTAAGCTTAGCTTTTAATTTGCGATCATTACAAAGAGAAAGTCCTACTTTGTTAATAAAGCTAATAATCTCACCAAAAGTAAGATTATGAAATGGAATAGTATTATTATTTTGAACTCGTATTGAATTCCGAACTTTTTCTGCAAAAAGTTTTGGAAGTCCAGAAATAAATCTTTCTTTCCTTCATTGTTACAGTCATCACGAATCATAATTCTAGATAGAAAAATATCTTTATACCATCTAAAGTCATGAAGTTTTGGACATGAAATATTCATTAATATTTCAGATGATCTATCTTGAATAATTTGAAGAGTACCAATAAAATGTTTTATTATAGAATATGCGAGACTAGTAAAACAGTCACTTACTGCATTACCGTCTTCAATTTTGATGGATTGAAGAATATCTTGTCGATTTTCTTCAGAAAGATAATTTATCCACCATCCTTTGAGTTGACCGGTGAATCCAACAATAAGATTATTGCAGACAGAAAGAGTATCAATATTTCGACTAGAATAAGCTGCCATATAGACAGACATTTTTTCAATAGTTTGAATAATTTGAAATTTAGTCATTTGGTCGATATTCCATTCAATAATATCGCTACCAGAATAACTTTCAGAAAATTGTTGAAATGATTTTTCTTCAAGAAGAAGATCAGGATGAGAAGGTCTTTACCAAATGAGCACATAATCTATGCATATTTATGGTAATATCTATTATTTAATTGAATTAATATTCTAATAAATTAAATAATAAAATACATAGATTCAAGTCTTGGTGATTTGTTAATCACAAAGAGTTGTTATTGTGATATACAAATTACAAATGACTGAATCTTAAATAGTTCGTAGTCGAAGTAATAACGAGACATAGATATCGTCATTACGGATAGACCATCACGTGTAGCATTTTTACTTGTAAAGTAAGTAGATGATCTTACAAGCTAAAGTGTGTTGACACTTGAATGAACACGTGGATGTTTTGTTATATAACAAAACATTGGAGGCCCACTGAGAGATTCCACATGGATAACTATTTGAGTGTTAGTGGTTAATCTCTAACGTTCGGTAGTGGAATTGGTCATTTGACTTGAGATCATCACAGTGCCTTATATGAGGACAGTCATATTTTGGTGGTGTTCGATATTGCTCTACCGAGGGTCGCTAATACAGCATGTTCGGGTATGTCAAGAATTATATGAATGTTATGAATGATCGATAGAGTATTCATCACTCTTAGATAGTAAGAGATTATGATCTATATTTTATCCAATTAAGTTGATAATAAAATTATTGGCCAAGGTGAACTCATAAGTCGAAAAAGAGTTTTCAACTTACATTGACTTAACAGTGGGATAAAAAATATGATCGATAATTGAGATTGACATACATTTATATCTTATAATTGATTGTAACATATTGACGAAATGATTATAGTTTCACGGTAAACAAACAAATTTGGTTTTATTACATCACGTAGCATTTTTCGTCACATGTATTACCCTGACACATTACTGTATGTCAATCTGGGACGACGAATATGAATTAATGAAAAATTAAAATGTGTGTTTTAATTTATCGATTTTGATTAGATCAAAATAATAATTCACATCGCATTGTGATTGAGATCCTAATTGGTCACACACAAAAGAGAACTAGAAGAATGAGATTTACCAATTAATTAATTGACAAGTATTTGATAATTAATTAATTGGGTTGCTTATTAATATACTCGAATTAATTAATTAGATTAATTAATTCATGAACCATATTTAATTAATTTGATTAATTAAATATTGGACTAAGTTAAGTTTAATTGATGGGCTGAGCCCGTTTGGACTTATATTAATAGGCTGCTAGAGTTTGAAAACTGTATGGAATTTTCACTATTCTTGCTAACACAAGAAAAGAAAACCCTAGTCGTCATTCTTGTTCTCTGTGTGGATCACCATTGGAGATTGGACAATTGGACAACTTGGATTGCAGATCGTGATCATTTGAGTTCGAGAATCAGCAAATGAGTTTGCAGAATTCATCAAAAGTATTATTTTAAACACAGTTTCCTATCTAAACACAAAGCAGAGCCGTGGTGGGAATTCAAATTATTTTATTTTTCGCTGTGCATGATTAAGTAAATTTCCAACAGCGTCGTAGTCTCAACATCGGCGAGGTCTCAGCCTTAACGGACTCTCCAACTTTAAGAACTCTAAAGACAATAACTTGGATCTCTTCTCCAAAAATTGTCACTGTCTACCTGTTGTCGCCTCCAACAATAACCATTCATTCTCGAAGCTACCAGTCTTAATCTTCCGGTGGCGGTAAGAATAGAGAGAGGAGGGAGAGAGGTCTTCTGGCTCCGACGATTGCCAGTTGAATGAGAGAGGGGGGGAAAGGGGTGAAGAAGTGAGAGAAAGAAAATGCTAGAGTTTGGGTTAAATTTGGTAGAATGGATGGAATTGGTTGGGGTGAATATTTTATAATATTAATATTAATTGTTGAATTATTATCTAATTTAAGAATAAGTAAACTTTATATATGAATGATCTAATGGACACCGATACTTATCTTATATTGAATATAGTGTCACATAAATTTATTGATGAATTTGAAATTTAACTCAAATGTTGAGGCCTATCATAAATTTTTCCACAAATGAATTTATAAGATCCCCATGAAAGCAAAAGGTTATACAAGGGGAAAAAATAAAAGGAAATTGAAGACACATGATTTGGAGGTATCTTCGTCCCTTTGTGCTTCCAATTCCTATGTGTGATTTTCAGGTCAAACAAAAACCCAGAATTCAATTTCATTAAGGATCCGTTTGATTGAAAGAGTGGAATTTGGGTGAAAATAAAACAAATTCCAGGGAATTGAATTGCCTATAATTATTTTTTTGAAAATTGTCAATTAATTGTGTTTAATTGATATAATTTTCTACCTTGGAAATGTTGAAATTTTGGATTATTTGGTATTCGTTTGACTTTATTTTTCATGAAAATTGTCCATTAAGAGGAATTTTTTTTTTTT